AACTGTGCTTAATGTCTTGGATCCATCAGGTCTCCTGGGCCAGAGCTCTGGGAATCCCTAGTTGGCGGTTTCTCTGTTATTGCACACATTGCACGTATCTCCTGTGGATTCTGCCTCCAAAATACCTTTCAAATTTATCTCTTTCTCCTCATCTCCACTGCCACTGACTTGGTTCAGGCCCTTATCAAGACTTTCCTGGATAATTCCAATAGTATACACACTGGTCTCATCTTGCTTTAATTCATCCTCCATGTTACTACTGTGAAAATAATCTAAATGTAAATAAAATCACATTTCTCCTTCTTAAAGTCCTTCTATAAATCCTCCCATAGATACTGGGATCAAATTCAAGCGATAAGTTAGCTGACAGATATTTGCCTACCTCTCTAACCTCATTTTCACCAACCTCCCTTCTGTGCTTATTTGCAGCCACTTAACCTGCAATTGTGTTAAGTTTAGGCTGTTTAGTGCCCTATGCATTAGCAGTTATTGTTCCTTCTGCCTTACATGCATTTTCTACTCATCCTTCAAGACGTAGATCAGGCATCATCCCCTCTAAAATGCCTTTCGAATGTGGGTTGGATGTTTCTCCCATGTTCCACAGCATCTTCTACATGATTCTTTCCATATGAGATGCAGTACTGCATTGTGTTGCGGGCTGTGAAGCCAGAGTATGTGAGTGTAAGTTGCCCCCATTTTTTTTTTCAGAGTCCCGCTCTCTCACCCAGGCTGGAGTGCAGTGGTGTGATCTCGGCTCACTGCCACCTCTGTCTCCTGGGTTCAAGCAATTCTCCTGCCCCAGCCTTCCAAGTAGTTGGGATTACAGGCCTGTGCCACCATGCCTGGCTAATTTTTGTATTTTTAGTAGAGACAGGGTTTCCCCATGTTGGCCAGGCTGGTCTCAAACTCCTGACCTCAGGTGATCCACCCACCTCGGCCTCCCGGAGTGTTGGGATTACAGGCATGAGCCACCGCGCCCAGCCATAAATCACCTTTTTAAAATGACTATCTGTGTGACCTCTGCAAGTTTTTTAGCTTTTTTCATTCCTCAGTTTCCCTGTCTGTGAAGTGGCTATCTCATGTGTCACTTCACATGTGTCACTTCACAGTATCTGTCTCATGTGATTGCTTTGGGTTTTATATTGAGGTCACAAACATGGAGTCCTTAGAATTATGCCTATGTCAGAGTCAGAGCTCAATGCCTGTCAGCTGTTCCCAACAATTTGTTTTATTTTCAGTTTGCTGTTTCATAAGATACTAAGCTTTCAAAGGGATGGAATTAGTCTTTGTTTTCTCAGCATCTAGTACAAGAAGGCATTCAGTACTTTGTGAATGCATAAATGAACTATAAGCACCATATGTAAGGTGTTATTTTACTTGGTGGACTTTCATATTCCCTGTACTTTCTGACACATTTAGCTCATACAAGAACAAGCTAGCAGTGTGCATAGCAAGTCTTTAAACAATTATAGTAAATTATAGCATATATATTATATATTATATTATTTATTGCCAAAGCAAATTTTCTTAACTTAGTGAAGAATTATCTGTAAATTTGATAGAATTTTATTTTTTGGGTGATTTGTTTTGAAAAGTCAGCACTATTCTTTCTTGTTGGTGTGTGGCATCTTCTATGATACCGTGTGCCACTAGCTTCAAATTATGACAAAATCCACATATTGCTCATGTTGTTGGCATAGGGGAAAATTCTGTTTCCTATCTTCTTTGAATCTCTCACATATTTTTGCATTTTACACAATGTTTTATAATCACATCATGTGTCCAATAGACTAAAAACAAGCAAGCTCCTGCCATCTCCCTGAGAAAAGACTGCTAAATGGCACAAGATTTCATTTTCCAGCAACATTGTCTGGCAAATACACAAGACGTTCATCTTCCTCCATTTCTAGATTAATATGTTTTTATTTAATAAAACTAACCACATTGTGTAGCAGTCCATAATCTTCTGGATGTCTATATTAGAATTAGGTTTGACTGTGAATGATAGAAACTCAAAATAACAATGGCTTAAACAAGTTAAAAGCTTATTTCTCTTATGTAAACAGAAGCAGTCCTGAGCTAGAATGGCAGTTCAATCATCAGAGACCAAGGCTCTCTCCAGCATGCTGCTCTGCCATCCTTAATACACAGGTTCAACTCCTAGTTTAAGAGAGCTGTTCCTTTCCAGCCTTCACATCCTCAGTCCAGCCAGCAGGAAAAGGAAAACACTCTGTTGCTATTTAAGGACACTCCCTGTAAGTTGCATATGCATTCCCAATTATCAGAACTTGGTCACAGGGCTACATCCAGCTCAAGGGAAGTCTTGGAAATGCAGTCTTTGTCCTGGGTGGCCATGTGCTCAGCTGAAAATTGTGGATTCTATTTCTGAGAAGGAGTAAATGTATATTAGATGACTACTACCAGTCTGTGCTACTTTGTCTTTGCCATTTAAGTGTCTCAGCTTACTCGGGTCCAAGATTTAAAAAATTGTGGGTAAAATGGCCTATTGATGTAAAAAATATGTATTTGATCCTTCAGAAAGGGTCAAAATTAGAGTGTTAGCTAGTATGAGACTCTTTTTAAATTTTAGAAGCTATGTTAATTTTATGAATTGACTCCAAAATATCTTTTAAAATATTAATATTGTTATAGCAAATGTTTCTCATAAAGGAGCAACAAGAAAATAAACTGGCATATGACACCAAAGGCACAGGCAACAAAAGACAAAGTAGACAAATTGTACTTCATCAAAATCAAAAGTTTTGTGTATCAACGACCAGGTGCAGTGGCTCATGCCTGTAATCCCAGCACTTTGGGAGGCTGAGGTAGGAGGATCACTTGAGCCCAGGAGTTTGAGACTAGCCTGGGCAACATGGCCAGGCCCTGTCTCAAAAAAAAAAAAAAAAAAAAAAAAAAAAAAAGAAAAAGAAAAAGGAAAAAGAGATACCTAAGATATCTGAGAAGGGAGAAATATCAAGAATATGTGAAGAACTACAACTCAACAACGAAAAAACCATACGATCCAATTTTAAAAATGGGCAAAGGACTTGAGTAGACATTTCTCTAAAGAAACTATATAAATGGCCAAAAAGCACATGAAAAGATGCTCAACATCACTAATCACTAGAGAAATGCAAAAACAAAAAACAAAACAAACAAACAAAAAAAAAACCACAAGGAGATACCACTTTTCACCTATTAGAATAGGTATTATTTAAAAAAAAAAAAAAAAAAAAAAAAGTAAATAAGGATTGGCAAGGATGTGGAGAAACTGGAACCCTTGTGTAGGGCTGCTGGGAATGTAAAATGTTATGACCTTGGTAAAAAACTGTATGATGGTTCCTCAAAAAGTTAAAAATAAAATTACCTTATGATCCAGGAATTTCACTTTTGAGTATATACCCGAAATAATTGAAAACAGGGCCTCAAATGGACATTTATACACTCATATTGATAGCAGTATTATTTACAATAGCCAAAAGGTGGGAGCAATCCAAGGATCTATCAGCGGATGAATGGATAATACAAATATTGTGTCTACATATAATCAAATATTATTCAGCATTAAAAAGAAAGGAAATTCTGATGCATATTACATTATAGATAAGCCTTATAGACATTATGTTAGGTGAAATAAGTCAGTCACTAGAGGACAAGTACTGTCTGCTTCTACTTATATGAGGTATCTACAATAGTCAGATTCATAGAGACAAAAAGTAGAATGGTGGTTGCCAGAGGCTCGGGGAAGGAGGAGTGGAGATATTTTGTTTAATGGGTATGGTTTCATTTTGGGAAGATGAAAGGGTTCTGGAGATGGAAGATGGTGATAGTTGTACAATATGAATATATTTAATGCCACTGAACTATACTCTTAAAAGTGGTTAAAATGCTAAATTTTATGTAAATTTTATATTTTACCACTTTATATAAAAATAGTTTATATTTTTATGCACATGCATTTATATAATCAATCTCGAAGCCATTTCTAGAATTTTTTCCCCAGGAATCTTGATCTTATTTTGAAATGTTATTTTTAAAAAAATGCTATAAAACATACACAAAACAGAGATAATAACATATGGAAAATTTCTAGTTCCCTTTACTTAATGTTAATACCTCAATTTGTAGTAAATATTTTCTGTGAATGATTAGACCATTGCCCCAATTGTTGAGTGCCATTTGTATTCATCCCTCTCATTCCAGTGATTTGAAAAGCCAACTATGAACTTTTCATATCTGTGAATTGAACTGAACTAAAAAAGCTTTAGAAAACCTGACTTATTATAGATTCTGCAAAAGTAGCAGCATTGTGCAGACCAAGAGTTGGAAAACTTTTTCTGTAAAAAGCCAGATGGTAAATAAACATTCTAGGCTTTGTGGGCCACATAGGACTGTTGAATAGTCTTTAAAAATTTTTTTAAAAAACATCCCTATAAAAATATAAAAACTCTTCTTAGCTAGTGTAGCCTTGCAGTAAAAGGCTATAATTTGCTGACCTCTGGAAGACCATGAAGCCCTTCTGTCACCAAGCCACAGTTAATAGGTAGATGTGGGCATGTGATAAAGGTAAGCCAATCTTTAGGGTGCTAGCAACCTCTCTCTAGGCCTGACTCAAGTAGAATGAGTGAAGCATATTGGGTTTATTTCCTGAAACTCTGATAAGGAAGCATGTAGAAGTAAGCCACCCCAGGAGGAACAGAGTGGGTCCTAAGTGAGAGACGAGTGGGTGGTTATTCCCTAGAATAGGCTCAGTTCCAGTCCCACTGCATAAGTATAATAAACCACTTTTTCTTGAGGGAATTTATGTGTTCCTTGTTACCAGAAGAACCTAAATTACTTTCATCCATTACAAATGTAAATTGATACAACACAAGACAGCCTGGCAATATTTAATAAAGTTGAATATGGGCATATTAGTGATCCAGCAATTCCATGCTTAAATAGTTTTCCTAAAAAATTATTGGATATGTATACCAACAGATATTTATAACAACACTCACAGCATGTAGCAGAAGGTCCACAGAGACTCTTTCAACCTGATCAAATCCCAGCTCTGCTCCTTACACAGCTGTGTGACCTCGGATAAATTGCTTAGTTCTCTGTGCCCCATTTTCCTCACCTGTGGGGTGAGAACAATTATTTTATTCTTACAAGGTTGTCATGGGGGTTAAATAAGTTAATATACATAGAGTGCTGGGCACAATCCAAATGCTATATTTTTAGCTATTATTACAACTCTCATTATTATAGCATCATTGTTCATAATAGTAAAATACTGAAAACAAGCTAAACCTCTATCAGTAGAGCATGGGTAAATAAATTGCAGTATGTTTCTACTATAGAATCTTATAGCATAGGAGTAAAAAGAATGAACTAGACCCACGTATATCAATAGGTACAAATCTTGGACACATAATGTTAAAAGAAGAACACATGTAGTATGATCCCTATGTTATAACATAAGCAAAATTAAACCTATTCTTTAGAGACACACATATAGGTAGGAACAGTACAAAGAAAAAAATGGGAAAGAAACAAAACTCAAGATAGTGAAAAGGCAGATGGGATTGGGAAAGAGCTTCAGAGACCTTTGTGAAGTTCGTAAGTTCATAAATTTGGTGGTAGGTTCATAAGTGCTCTATGTTATAAACATGGAACAATTAACCTCAATGAACCAAATCTTTAAGAAATTTTCTTCAAGAAAATTTACATGGATATAAACTGAGCTGGTGGAAAATCCAGAAGAAAGAATGAAAACAAATAGTTTTAATAGTTAATATGCTCTTCCAAGAATTCATTCAGGAACTAAATTGGTTGAATGGAATTTGCTCTATGAAATACTTTTTGATGGAAATTTATCACTGCTAGTATACTTATTAGGATGTTTGTCTAAATATGTCTCAATAAATTCAAAGTCATTATGATCTGATGGTCATATTTAGATGAATAAAATCATCCTGTGCATAGTTAACAAAAACTTAATGGTACAACAGACATTAAATTTATTTAATGAGCTTTACATATTCATAGGAAAAACAAGGTTTTGACAGAAGTCTGGGTGGGAATCAGGTGTCAGGAAAACCTAAATGGTCAACTAGCTTTAAGGCAAAATAGCAAGAAAGTATTCATCTCTGGAGATAAGAGAAACAGGAAAATACCAAGAAATAGATCATCAAGGCAGAAAACTAACAAAGATATTTGGGACCCAAACTTGGCACTTGACCAAATGGACCTAACAGACATCTATAGAATGCTGCACCAAACAACAACAGAATATACATTCTTTTCATCTGCACATGGCACATACTGTAAGATTGACCACAGACTCAGCCATAAGGCAATTCTCAACAAGTTAAAAAAACCTGAAATTATGCCAACCACACACTCAGACCATGGAGCAGTAAAAATAGACATCAATACCAAGAAGATCTCTCAAAACCATACAATTACATGGACATTAAGCAATCTGCTCCTGAATGACTTTTGGATAAAGAATGAAATTAAGGCGGAAATTAAGAAATTCTTTGAAACTGATGAAAATAAAAAATACAACACACCAAAATCTCCAGGATATAGCTAAAGCACTGTTAAGAGGAAAGTTTATAGTGCCAAACGCCTATGCCAAAAAATCAGGAAAATCTTTAACAACCTAACATCCCACCTAGAGGAGCTAGAAAAACTAAGAGCAAACCAACTCCAAACCTAGCAGAAGAAAAGAAATAACCCAAATTAGAGCTGAACTGAATAAAATTGAGATGCAAAAACCTATGCAAAAGATTAGTGAAACCAAAAGTGGGTTTCTTAAAAAGAATAAATAAGATAGTAATAAAAAGGAAGATCCAAATAAACAGCATTACAATTGACAAAGGTGACATTACCACTGGACCCACAGGAATACAAAAGCAAACCCCTCAGAGACTATGATGAACACCTCTATGCACACAAATGAGAAAACCTAGAAGAAATGGATAAGATCCTGGAAGCCTACAGCCTTCCAAGATTGAACCAAGAAGAAATTTAATAACTAAATAGACCAATAATGAGTTCCAAAATTAAGTCATTAATAAAAATCTTACCAACCAGAAAAATGCCCTTGGACCAGACGGATTCATAGCCAAATTCTACCAGATATATAAAGAAGACCTGGTAGGCCACGCACAGTGGCTCATGCCTGTCATCCCAGCACTTTGGGAGGCTGAGGTGGGTGGATTATTTGAGGACAGGGGTTCAAGACTGACCTGGGAAACATGGCAAGACCCTTCTCTACAAAAAGTACAAAATATATCAGGTGTGGTGGTGCATGCCTATAGCTCCAGCTACTTGGGGGGGGGCTGAGGTGGGAGGATCGCTTGAGCCCGGGAGGTCAAGGCTGCAGTGAGCTGTGATCACACCACTGCACTCTACCCTGGGCAACAGAGCAAGGCCCTATCTCAAAAAGAGAAGAAGGAGAAGGAGAAGGAGAAGAAGGAAGAAGAAGGAGAAGAAGGAAGAAGAAGAAGAGGAAGAAGAAGAAGAAGAGGAGGAGGAGGAGCTGGTATCAATTCTACTGAAAGTATTTCAAAAAATTGAGGAGGAAGGACTCGTAACTCATTCAATGAGGCCAGCATCATTCTGATACCAAAACCTGGCAGAAACTCAATGAAGAAGAAAACTTTAGGCCAATATTCCTGATGAACATAGATGCAAAAATCCTCAACAAAATACTAGCAAATCGAATCCAGCAGCACATCAAAAAGGTAATCCACCTTGATCAAGTAGACTTTATCCCTAGGAGGCAAGGTTGGTTCAGTATATTCAAATCAATTAATGCAATTCATCACATAAACAGAACTAAAAACAAAAGCCACATAATCATCTCAATAGATGCAGAAAAGGCTTTTGATAAAATGCAACACCTGTTCATGTTAAAAACCCTCAACAAATAAGGCATCAAAGGAACATGCCTCAAAATAATAAGGGCCATATATGACAAACCCATAGCCAACATCATACTGAATGGGCAAAAGTTGGAAGCATTTCCCTTGAAAAACGGAAGAGAAGGATGCTCACTCTCACTACTCCTATTCAACGTAGTGCTGGAAGTCCTAGCTGGAACAATGAGGCAAGAGAAGGAAAAAAGGCATCTAAATAGGAGGAGAGGAAGTCAAACCATCTCCCTTCGTGGATGATATGATTCTATACCTAGGAAACCCCATAGTCTCTGCACAAAAGCTCCTAGAACTGATAACTTTAATAAAGTTTCAGGATACAAAAATTGATGTACAAAAATCGGTAGCGTTTCTATATACCAATAATGTCCAAGCTGAGAGCCGAATCAAGGATTGCATTCTTGTGCCGAATCAAAGATCGCCACAAAAAGAATAAAATGCATAGAAATACAGCTAACCAGGGAGCTGAAAAATCTCTACAACAAGAATTATAGTAAAATACTGCTGAAAGAAATCAGAGACGACACAAGCAAATAGAAAAATATTCCGTGCTAATGGATAGGAAGAATCAATATTGTTAAAATAGCCATAACTGCCCAAAGCAATTTACACATTCAATGTTATTCCTATCAAACTACCAATGACATTCTTCATAGAGATAGAAAAAACGTTTCTAAAATTCATATGGAACCAAAAATGAGCCCTAATAGTCAAAGCAATCCTAAGCAAAAAGAACAAAGCTGGAGGCAATCTGACTTCAAACTGTACTACAAGGCTACAGTAACTGAAACAGCATGGTACTGGTATAAAAACAGACACATAGACCAATGAGGCACGTTAAACAACCCAGAAATAAAGCCACACACCTACAATCATCCGATCTTTGACAAAGTCAATAATAAGCAATAGGTAAAGGATTCCCTAATCAATAAATGGTGCTGGAATAACTGGCTTGCCATATGCAAAAGACTGAAACTGGACCCATAGCTTTCACCATATACAGAAATCAACTTGAGATGGATTAAAGACTTAAACACAGAACTGAAAACTATAAAGACCCTAGCGGGGAGAACCTAGGAAATACTCTTCTGGACATAGATCTTGGCAAATATTTCATGACAAAGGCTCTAAAAACAATTGCAACAAAACAAAAAAATTGATAAATGGGACCTAATTAAACTAAAGAGGTGGGACATAGCAAAAGAAACTATCAACAGGGTAAACTGACAGTCTACAGAAGGGGAGAAAATTTTTGCAAACTAAACATCTGACAAAGATTTAATATCCAGAATCTATAAGGAGCTTAAACAAGCAAAAAAGAAACCACCTCGTTAAAAATGGGCAAAGAACATAAACAGACACTTCTCAAAAGAAGACATACATGTAACCAACAGGCATATGAATAAATGCTCAACATCATTCATCATTAGAAAAATGCTAATCAAAACTACAATGAGATACTATCTCACGCCAGTCAGAATGGCTATTATTAAAAAGTCAAAAAATAATAGATGTTGGCAAGATTGTGGAGAAAAGAGAAGACTCATACACTCCTGGTGGAAATGCAAATTAGTTCAGCCACTGTGGAAAACAGTTTGGTGATTTCTCAAAGAACTTAAAACAGAATTACCAGTAGACCCAGCAATCCCATTACTGGATATATGCTCAGAGGAATATGAATTATTCTATCATAAAGACAAATGCATGTGCATGCTTATTGCAGCACTTTTCACAATAGCAAAGACATATAATCAACCTAGATGTCCATCAACAGTGGACTGGATAAAGAAAATGCGGTACATATACGCCATGGAATGCTATGCAGCCATAAAAGAATGAAATCATGTCCTTTGCAGCAACATGATGCAGCTAGAGGCCATTATCCTAAGTGAATTAGTGCAGGAACAGAAAACCAAATACTGCTTGTTCTCATAAGTGGGTGCTAAACATTGAGTATACATGGACACAAAGGCAGGAAAAATAGACATCAAGACTCACTTGAGGGTGAAGGGTGGGAGGAGGGTGAGGATAAAAAGCTACCTATTGGATACTGTGCTCACTATGTGAGTGATGAAATCACTCGTACACCAAACCCCAGTGACCGCAACTTATCTATCCATGTAACAAACCTGCACTTGTACACCCTGATCCTAAAGTATAAGTTGGAAGAAAAAATAAATAAATAAAAAAGAATGAATTCAATGTTGAGGTGATCATTTGGATGATAAGTTTGATCCATGAAGCTGGCATATGCAGTTTAGGAGTGGACATATCTGCGGAACACTTCACTTCCAAAAGCCACTGCGTAGTTAGCTGTTTTCTGAGGCAACAGCAAATACGCTGCCTTCAGGATATCTTCAGGGGTGAGAGTACAGCAATTTCTGAAATACATCAACCTGTAAGCTTTCATGGAAATGTGTTGAAAGAAGTTGTTAATCAGAGTGTTCATGAGGTCCAAGGTGCGAGACGATGTGCCTCTATGGGACACCACTTCCTTTAGGACCTTGTTTACGAAGAATGAGTAATTTCCATGGACAAAATCAATGCTGGAATGTGCTTTCTTTCTGGAGGTTGGGCTTTGATGTCTTTTGGAGTACTTATGCTTTTTGGTGCTGGATCTAGCCATTGTGGATGTTGTTCCTCTGATCAGTTATGAATGGAGAGGAGAAGGGCCCAAGAACAGGTGGGAGTGCTCATCTTTATAGTGACATGTCACAGTCAGACTTCAGAGGCTTCTCTGATTGGAGGTTGCTTTTCCTATGTCACAATCACCTAGCAATAGCACTAATTTGTTGTTAAGGGCAAATCTTGTTCTTGACTAACCTAAAGCTTTCCTAAGAAGGAGAATTGAGGCTGATTTCAGGGCAGAAAAGAGGAGTGCTCATTCTTTCAACTTTGTTTCTTAGCAATTTGCAAGCATAATATACAATATCCTCAGAATTGCAAAATCCCATCAAACTGGGAGGGTTAGTGAAAGGGAAGGAAATTTGCCATAGGCCTTTTCTCAGGGCCACTGTATTCATAAAAAGCATTCATAAATTCATTTTATGAGCAAATGAATAATTAAATAAGCCACTAAAGTCTCAAAATGATTATTTTTTAAAAATGTATGGCTAATCTGGTTTTAAGAATTGTTACCATTACTTTAAAAATGAACTTAAGTTTTTGTCTAGACTCATACTCCTCAGGAATGAGTATGTACAACTGAAGAATAAAACAAAAACTCCCCTATTTTATTGTTAAAATTGTGACACAAGGACTGTGTTCATTAACCTTTTATAATGACATTAATATTATTCTTGCAAATTTCACAGATTTCATTGCATGGTCTGCATTTACTTGATATTGTAGTTCTGTCATTAACCAAAAGATGTTTGTAGGGTCACTCTTGAACATGTGCATTTAAAACATATTTCATTTGCTTTCTTAATCAAATTTGTCCATAAGTAAAAGAAAAAGACATACAAGTAACCATAAAAATAATAGGCTTGGTGCCATGGCTAACACCTGTAATCCCAGCACCTCGAGAGGCTAAGGGGGGTGGATTGCTTGAGCCCAGGATTTCAAGACCAGCCTGGGCACCATAGAAAAACCACATCTCTACAAAATGTATAAAAATTAGCGGGGTGTGGTGGTGCACACTTGTAGTCCCAGCTACTTGAGATGCTGAGTGGGGAGCATCACCTGAGCCCGGGAAGTCAAGGCTGTGGTGAGCTGTGATCGTGCCATTGCACTCCAGCCTGGGCAATACAGTGAGACCCTGTCTCAGAAAAAAAAAAAGAAAAAAATCAGTGTATGAGCATTTCAGTTATTCACAATTGCCACAACCCTTAATGCTGTCACTAAATGTCCTTCACTAGGAGCTTCTTCACAGATGAGGTAGACTGGCTTATGTGTAATTTCTGGAACGTAATCTGTAATTTCTCCCCTTTCTCTCCCACTCAAGAAAGTAAATCTGAAATGAGGTAAGAATAATGTTACTATAGGGATACTTTGAACAAGCTCTGAATTCTAAAGACAACAGACAGCGTTTGTAAATAGCTATACCATATTGTAAGTACCACACCTCAGACTGTTTTCATTACACTAAGAGGGAGGCTGCTGCTTCCAGGGATGCTTGGGAGTGACGGATCTGTAGTCAGCTCTTGCTAATTTTGCTTTCAAATTTCTCTCTATATAATTACTTAGTTTGCTTAATTATAGCATAGCTTTATTTGCTACCATTTAGAAGTAACTATCAGGTGGAGAACGTTGATTCCCTCTTCTTCAACATATCCGTGTTAAAGAGCTTCCACAAGCCTAACGATCCTGGCCTCTCTTGCTGCATCACTTACTCCTCCTGGAACAAATGGCTTACTGATGGGGAGGTGAAGACAGGACAGTCATGTGGATCTCACTCCCTTCCGGATTCTCCCCGGGATATGACTGTGGGGAGCTCTGTCACTGGGAAAGGGTCACTATTTGCCAGCTGCTCGTGACTGAGTAGGTCCTTCTGCTTAATGATTTGGTGCTGTATTAGAAGCCTATTGTTGCACCACACCTAAAGACTGTTCTCCAAATAGCTTGTCAGTAATAAAGTTGATGTTTTCATCTTCATCTTTCTGGCTCCTTTGACTCTCTCAGTTGGTTCTATGCTTGAGTGAGGAGAAGGAAGGATGCAAAGTATTACAGTAGCTAAATGAAAAGTTTTTAAAGCCCAAACAATAAGCTGTATGTTGAAATACTGAACGGCCAGAAAGGCCAGAAAATGAGGAATACTGGTTATATAAAATTTCTGGTTAACTTAGGGTTAACTCAAATTTCCTTCTAAAATTCAGTGAATTATTCTAAAATACGTATGAATTCACCACTGATGGGCTATTTTTTTTTCTTTTCTTTCTCACTTCCTCCTCCTCCAGACAGACCGGGACAAAGGATAAACACCTTTTTGCATAATGGCCTGCAGGAGATGCCCACAATATGATTAATCCAGGCAGTGCAGCAAGTCTGTTTACTTTGCATCTATCACATCCTGAGAATGGACAGTGTAAGAATCTCTGTCTTTTCTCCCCTTCCTCTCTGCCTCTATCCCAAGACCCTAGCTTTAGAATGAAGCCTGGTGTCCTTCAGCAGGAGACACAATAGATTGAAAGGACGGACGACCAGTATACCAGAGGTCCTGGGTCTCCAAGCTATTCAAAAGGCAGGCTGGAATCCAAAGTCAAGAATTGTTTCATGCATTTTTCCGGGCTCTTGTTTTGTGCTCCATCATATTATGTCTATATAGGACATGGACTGTATTGTGTCCTCCTTTCCATGATTGAGCGGGTAAAGGATTGGAGTTATAGCGGCTTATTCTTGCCTTGATGACTCAGGATCTTGTAATGATTCAAGGTCATCAACAAGACTACCCGTGATTATATCGCAATAATGTAACTACGGCAGAGGTGACATTAACTCAAAGCAGAAAGCATGCACTGACAGGTATGAGTGTACTCTAGGAACATTTTTATAGCCACAGTATTAGTTTTCTATTGCTTTAACAAATCACCACAAATCTAGCAGCTCGAAACAACACAAATCTACTGTCCTACAATTCTGGCCTCTCACTGGGCTAAAATCAAGATGTGGACAGGGTTGCTTTCCTTTCTGGAGGCTCCAGGGGAGAGTCTGCTTTCTTGCCTTTTCCAACTTCTCGAGGCCACTTGTGTTCTTTAGCTTTTCCTCCGTCTTCCAAGCCAGCAGTGGCGGGTAGAGTCTTTCACACACTGCATCATCCTGACCCTGACTCTCCTGCCTCCCTCTGTGACTTAGAAGGACCCTTGTGATTACATTGGGCCCACCCTGATAATCCAGGATAATCTCCCCATCTCAAGGTCTTTAGCTTAATCACATCTGCAAAGTCCGTTTTGCCATGCAATGGAACATATTCATAGGTTCCAGCGTTTGAGACATGGATGTCTTTGGCAGGGGGCATTATTCTGCCCACCACGGCCACCATCAACAGAATGGGATTGTCATAGAAGATCTGGGTCACTGATGGTAAAGTAGTCCGAGATGAAAAATACTGTCCTTAGTAGGTGACCAGAAATATAGTTTAAAAAATACCTTCTATATATGTGGGTTTTCTTGTCACTTGCTTATTTTTCTTCTAAAAAATAGAGAATTGTCTTGGATTTTTACTTTCTGTGCTATGTCTCTATATTATAGTTCCAAAAATATGCTTAGTAACAGATTTTACCCTTGGAAGGCAGGAGGATGACAGTAGAGGTGAGGTATTTCCTTCTCCTCCTCCTCCTCCTCCTCCTCCTCCTCCTCCTCTTCCTCCTCTTCTTCTTCTTCTTCTTCTTCTTCTTCTTCTTCTTCTTCTTCTTCTTCTTCTTCTTCTTCTTCTTCTTTTTTAATTTGAGACAGTCTCACTCTGTTGCTCAGGCTGGAGTGCAGTGGTACAAGCTCGGCTCACCGCAATCTCTGCCTCCTGGGTTCAAGCAATTCTCCTGTCTCAGCCTCCCGAGTAGCTGGGATTACAGGCACCTGCCACCATGCCTGGCTAATTCTTGTGTTTTTAATAGAGATGGGGTTTCACTATGTTGGCCAGGCTGGTCTTGAACTTTTGACCTCAAGTGATCCACCTGCCTCGGCCGCCCAAAGTGCTGGGATTACAGGCAAGATATTTCTTCTTTTCTTTCTTACTTCTCTCCTTCTCACATTCCCTTCTCCAGCTCTTCTCTCCTGCTTGCTCTTTTTCACAAGTATTTATCTGATGCCAACCATGTGCCAGGCACTGCATGAGTTACACTGTGCAGATACAGAGATGAAGAAGATGTAATTCCCACTCTCAAAGAACTCACACTTTATTGAGGTAGGCAGACATGGAAATAGCTGATTATTATAAACAGAGAGATAAAGGCTATGGCAGGCATCCATAGGGTGTAAGTGAGAAGAGAGGGAGAGAGTGTGGTTCCTAGATCACTTGGCCTGTCAGGGCAGTCCTCTAAGAGGGAGAGTTACTGTTTTAGTTGCATTTTGAAGGACACAGATGTTATTCAGGCAGATAAGGTTGGTGGTGGTGGGGAGAGGTGGCATGGGACATGTAAATAAAGTACTTTCAGGAAAGGAGTAATGTTTTTCTTTGTTTGTGCATGGGGATGGGAGACCCACGGTCTGGAAGAGGCAATCTGGGGCCTGAGATTGACTGTCCCATCTTGTCTGGCAGTACTCTGGTAAGGGAGGATGTGGAATCTCTAGAGAGGGGTGCAGGAAGCATGTTTGCCAGGAGATAGTCTAGGTTCCAGTTAAGGCAGTGGTTCTTTAGACTGGGTACACCCTGGAAACACCTAGGGATGTTAAACAAACAAAACCAAAACAACAGAACATCCATACCAGGGCTAGACCCAGGCTAACTAAATCAGATTCTGCAGGGGCCAGGTTCAGGCTTTTTTTGTTTTTGTTTTTGTTTTAAGTTCCCCAGGTGCTTTTAATGTGCAACCAGGGTTGAGAATCACTTAGCTAAGACAAAGCAAAATATTTGAAGGTGTTGGGGAGCTTTTAAATTTTTTTCTTAAACACAGAGGAAAGGGTTAAGAGGGAGGGAAAAGAAGAAGGATAGGAGGTGAGCAGATGAGAGGATGGATGAGTGGAAAAATGGCCTCAGAGGGCGACACATGTCCTCTGATCACCGGACTCCCACCACTGAGACATGAAGAGGAGTAGACTTTGAT